GGAAGAAATGATACAGGAGAAAGAAAAAGAAAAAAAAAAAAAAGAAGAAAGAAAAAAAAGGAGAGCGGAGGAGAAAGAAAAAGGCGAGGAAGAGAAGGAAGAAAGTAAAGACGAGCCGTAGTCCTTGAGGTGAGGGGAGAGCGCCGAGCCCCAGTCTCTCTCCTCGCCTGACAGACAGAGGGGCGAGTGCAGGTCCCTGACCTACCGCGAACATCTCGAGGAGGATTTCAAAAGCACCAACTTAATTTCTAAAGCAATTTTCCTGCGTCTGAGTCGAATGCGACAGCTCTTCCCGCCCTCTCCAGATCGGAAAATAGGATTTTTTTTTTTTTGAACCTTTTTTCTCTACGTTCTGCGCGGGAAAGGAAAAAACCGAAAGAGATCTGGGGAGGGAAATAAGACGCTGGAGGGCAGCTATTTTCCAAAGTTACGAGACAGGAAAATGTTTGCGGGTCGGGCACTGGGGCACAGGGAGATTGGACGTTATTATTAAATCCTAAATTCACCGTGAAAATGGGAGTTTCTGCGCAGTCACAAGGAAAGGCCAGGGCACTCCCGGAGGAAGGATCGAACTATTGGAAAAGATGATGTCTAAAGGTTGTTGATGTCTAAAGGTGGTTTCTATAATCCAGGTTGATTTATTTTTGTTCGGGGCTGCGAGAAACTAGAAAGAGAAAACTAAAAAACTACCGGAGAAAGGAATAAGATCTTGACCTTTCCTAATTCTCCAAATCGGCAGTAATGGAAAGCAGAAGGTGCCAGAGGAGGAGGCAGGAGCGGAGGGCCGAGCGGGCGGTGCAGCGGGGCCGGCCGGGCCGGGGTCCCACACCCGCAGCCGGCGAGGGAAGGGCCACTCGCTTCCCTCCTCGGGATCCGCACCACTTAACACAGGCTTAGTTAAGCGAAAGTAGAGAAAGAAATTACACACACAGAGCCCTCCCGCTGTGGTCCCGACGGGGATATTCCGGGGCAGGATCGTTTTATCCCGCCCCGACAAACCCGAGGAGAATCTCCCGTTTTCCGCCTCTCCCGGGCTGCGCACACACGGAAATCCACCGCGGAGTAACTACGCTGAAAGCATCGCGGTTTTGTTACGACCCCTTCATCTGGCATATAGAAAGCAGAGGAGTGGGGGCACATTAAAGAATTAAAAAAAATCATCTCCACAGATGTGTGACCAAAGCCAAAGCAAGGCAGGGGAACCTGCATCCTCCAGTTCCTGCTCGGAAACAGCCGCCGAGCGGAAAGGGAGAGGGAAAAAAATCCCAAACCTGCAAAAAAGGATCGGGCTCGCGGCAGGCTTTGCCCGGGGTTTAGCACTGACAAAACCAACCACCGAAAGCAGTCCCGAGAACCGGGAGGTTCGCCTACGGACGGGACGGAAGGGAAATGCCAGGTCGCCTTTTTGGCCAGGGACTCCCAAGCAGCGACTGCAACAGCTAATTATTTTCCTTTCAGAGCTCGGTTATTGCTGGTGTCCTCCCCGCCTCCCCTCCAATAAATAAATAAAACCCTCTTTTAGGCAGCGAGGCGTGAAAAATGATCCTCGCTGAACGCTTAAAAATAATGTCCCGTGAAGATCGGGGCCACGGAGCCAGCCAGCCCCGTAATTAGGGGCCATTATCCGTCCTGCCTCGCCGAGGCAAGATTTCTCCTGAACCCCCCGAGCCGAGCCCGGCCAGGGCATTCTGGACCCCGTGGAGACCCCCGGGTCTTTCCCCGCCGCCCCCCGCTCCGGCGGACGGGGGAGAGCCAGTTCCCGGGGGGTCTTCGCCGCCCCCCCCCCGCCGCCTCCCCGGGCGACGCAGATACTTGTAGGCGGCGTGAGTCTGGTCTGGGCACGGAATAAGCTGGGGTGCTTCAGGGAAATTTAGGGAACGGGGAAAATTCTAATTTTAGAGACGCTTGGGGATCTTCCCCTCAAAATAAAACCTCGACGGCGCCGGCGCTCGCAGCCCCCGCGGGCCCCGGGGAGCCGAACCCAACTCTTCCTGCGTAGGTGCCGCGATTCCCGGTTAAGAGGGGAAAATCCCCCCGCTCCCAAGTCAGTTCAGCTTCAATCCTGGCCGGCGACCGCGGCTTAAAACCCCACAATGTCTCCGCAAGGCAAAGGGAGATGAACGGAGCCGGGGAAAGGTGTCCCAGTCCCAGATCCCCCTCCAGAGCCCCCTCCCCTGAACGTGTGGGGGCAGGGGGCTCTCCAGGGAAACACCGCTTCCCTGCAGAGAGGACCCCCCTCCATCCCTCCAAACCCTGAGACCACCAACTTGGAGAACCCCTTGCACCAGCGCGACTGCAGGGGCCACACGCCTCCTCCATCCCTACGGGCACCGACTGCTATTTCTTATCCGCTCTTGCCACCCTTGGCTCCTTTTCCTCCTGCACTTCGCAAACAGACAAGCCAAAAATTATTAAAAATCGCTACTTTATACTAAAATAACCAGCCCCCCTTCTTCCAGGCGCATAACCACCACCCAGCCTCGCTGCACATCGCTTTCTTCCCTCGGATCCCTTCTCAAAGCAGGCTCGGTTATTAAAGGAGGCTGAACAAAGATAGCTCCGAGAGCAGCTATCAGCGCATTTTAACTTCATCAAAGACTTCGAGGGAGAGGGAGAGGAGGGGTCTGGCACCTTCTAGTAATGAGCTTGTCAGGAACACCCCTGCCAGAGCAATTGAACAATTTGCACACAAGCAAAAGAAAAGGAGAGGGGAGGGAGGGAGGAAGGGGAAATGCTACAAAAGCCCCTTCAATTTCCAACCATGTGCTTGGCAATCTGGAAAATAGATTCATTGGCCTCCTCTTTTCTCCCATGTCGAGTCTTGTAGCCCCTTTTGTAGGAGCTGGACATGAAAGGGAGACAACCAAGTGCCGGACACGAAGATCGCTTTTCAAAAGCAAATGTGTGTGAAGGCGAGATGTGAGACCGCTCGCTGCGGGGAGGCGGCACGTTCAGGAACAACATCAACAAACTGCGCGGAGGTTCGAGGTGGCACAGACAGAGGCAGAGGATAAAAAGGGGATGGGGGGCGGGAAGAGAAAAGAAAAGCCGATCCCCCCCTGCTCCCCCGGCGCACACTGCCCGGCTCCTGCCTGAGCCCCGGCGGGCCTCGCACAAAGCCCCGCTCGCCCGGGGACCGGCTCCGTCCCCCGCGCCCTGCCTCGTACGTCTCCGCTTTTTTTTTTTCCTTTTTCTCCTTCTCCTTCAGCTGGCTGCCCGGTCAGAAAGGCCTCGATTCTTTCGATCAGGGTCCCTGCCAACAAACAAACCAAAGAGCCACGTTTGGTCCCTGAAATAAAGAAACGGGGGGGGGGTGGGGGGGGGAAGAGAGAAAGGGGAGAAGTTTGGACGAGAAGGGAGCGCTTTAAGATGTTTATTTACTTTGTAAGTTGTTGCAAAATTTAGGCAGAGATCAAGTTTCATTCAGTCATTCAAATGCTGCAGGCCCAAGGGGGACGTGTGTGCGGGGGGGAAACCCTCCAACTTATTTTCTCATGTGTCAACTTTTCCAAACAAAATAAAAGGAGGTGGAGGGGCGGCGGAGGGGAGGAGGGGGGGGGGGGGGGAAGAATAAAGAACAACGTTTCTCCTGGCCCCCACCTCCTTCCCCCTGGAAACACGCAGGGGTTTGTTTTTTGGTTTTAGGGTTTGTTTTCTTTTTTTTTGTTTGGTTTTTTTTTTTTTTGCTGGGAGACACCAAAATCAGATAAATTAAAAAAATAATAAAATTATCAAAAAATAAAATATATATCCGGGGATCCTTTCCCTTGCCGGCCCGTGGCCCCACACCGTGGCCCGGGCAGGGAGGCGTCGCGGAGCAGCCCCGCGCAGGCTGCGCCGCGGCCGTGGAAGGGCCGCTCAACCCCTGCCGAACGCCCGAGTGTCGTCGGCCCGAGGGTGGGAGCCACTCGCTTCCCCGAGGCCCGAGCGGGACTCTCGGCTCTCAGCGTGACAAAGGACATCGCAAAGAACGATTTGGATTATTATTACTTTTTTTTTTTTTTTTTTAACCAGGTCACAAACATTTATTAATTTACACCAACGGTGGACAAAATTCTGTTGCCTTTTCCACATCAAATTATTCACAGATTCTCTCAATAAAATAGATATGACTGATGCACAACCAGTGAAGAGTTAACTGGACTCCGCTCATTAGCTCCCGAATAATCTATATACAAATAATTACCAATACACCAAAAAACCCACGCACGGAGGGGGTGGGAAAACTGGGATAAAAAAAAATAGTATGGGAATTTTCCAAACTTCCTGACGGATTGGATTTTCTTTTAAACGTGCATTTGACTGTCTCATTGGGGGGGGGGGGGGGGGAAAAAAAAGAAAAAAAAAGCAAAAAAATAAACCGCAGTCCTGAGTTTCACCAACTTTTCTTCTTCTTAAAAATAAAGTAACCTTAAACAGTGCGTTTTAAAACCAAACCCGAAGCTTCAAAGAAACTAAAAATAAGATCGAACCATCAAAACATTTTCTTTGAGAGCAGGGGAGAGACAGACACACATGGCAAAACCACCCGGGAGAGAGACTTGCAAGAACAAAAACGGGCTCGCTGCGACCGGGAGCGTCCGCAACTCCCCTGGCCGCTTTCCCAGGTGATTTGGGGGACCCCTGCGGGAAACCCGCACCTCTCAAAGGAAACATTTTCCACTCTAAGACCGTTTCGTTCTTAACATGCCCCCCCTTCTCCCTTCGCAAGACGTGGAGTATTTAACCAGCCCAGGTCCCAGCTTATGTTACGGCCACTTTATAAATACGCTTTGGCGTTTGTGGGACCAAATCGTGTTATTCTTTCCCTCCTCCCACCCTCCCGATTTATTGATTTTGGTTTTTTTTTTCCCCCGAGCAAAGAGAGACAAACAGATCTGGATGCCACTGAGCCTGGAAGTAAAGTAAAAATTAAAAAAAAAAAAAAAAAAAAAAAAAAAAAAGAAATATTTCCTACCTTAAAACACAACAGAAGAAGATCGGGGGGAGGGGGGGGACGGGACACGGGGAGAGGGAATGGGAGCAGTTTCGGAGGAGGGGGGGAGAGCTGGAAAGGGGCCGTTTGCTTTGCGACTCTCCCCCCCCCCATCTTCCCCAGTCCCCAGCACACTTTAAAAATGACAGCTGCTGAGGGTTGTGATTTTACTGGAAAAGTTCTGGGCCGGCTGGAGGAGCGGCTCGTGTGCCAGGCTGACCTGGGGCTGTGCCGGGGCCAAGGCGGGGCTGAGCACGGCCAGGACCTGTGCCGGGGGGCCCGCCTGGCCGGCGGGGTAGGGCGCGGCGGGCGCGACGCTGGGGTTGGTGCTGGGCGGCGGGGGCACGGCCCCCCCGATGATGTTGTCTATGGAAAAAGAGGGCCGGGAGGGGTGGTTGGTGCCGCCGCTGCCGCCGCCGCCGCCGCCGGCGGGCGAGGGGTCCGGCTTGAGGGTCTGGAGGAGGGCGGCGGGCAAGGCGGTGGGGCTCAGCTGAGGGTGGTAGAAGGACTTCCTGCAGTTCAGCTCGCCGCCCAGGAAGGAGGGCAGCCCCGAGGCGGCGGAGAAGACGGAGGCGGCGGCGGGAGGCGGCGGAGCCGGTAACGGGCAGTGCGGCGCCGGGAAGGGGAAGGCGCCCGCGGCGCCGCCGCCTCCGCCGCCGGGGTGGTGGTGGTGGTGGGGATAGCCCTGGAGCTGCAGGCCGTAGTTGTAGCCGTAGGGTCCGTAGGCGAAGCCGGGCAGGAATGCGGCGGGGTCGGCGGCCCCGGCCCGCAGCAGCAGCTCGGGGTGCGGCGGGTGCAGCTGCTGCTGCCTCTTGAAGCGCTTCCTCCGGCGCAGGAAGCTCCCGTTGTCGAACATGTCGGCGGACTCGGGGTCCAGCGTCCAGTAGTTGCCCTTGCCCGGGTTGCCGGGCTCCCGGGGGATCTTGACGAAGCAGTCGTTGAGGGAGAGGTTGTGGCGGATGCTGTTCTGCCAGGCGGGGAACTTCTCCCGGTAGTACGGAAAGCGCCCGCTGATGAACTCGCAGATCTCGCTCAGCGTCAGCCGCTTCTTGGGGCTCTGTAGGATGGCCATGGTGATGAGGGCGATGTAGGAGTAGGGCGGCTTCACCAGCGGGTTCTTCCCCCCCGCGCCGCCGCCGCCGCCGCTGCCCGCGGGCGCCTTGTCCCCGGGCGCGGCGCCGCGGGCGCAGGCGGGCTCGGAGCCGCCGGCGGGGGACAGCCGCTCCGGGGACCCCCCCATGCGCGCCTTGGCGGCCCCGCTCCGCGGCAGCGCCAGCCCCAGCGGATCGCCGCCGTCCTCCTCGTCCTCCTCCTCCTCGTCCTCGTCGTCCTCCTCCTCCTCGCTGTACTTGCCCCCATCCTGGGGCGGGCCCACCACGTCGATATCCGCGTCCTCCACCTCGGAGAGCGGCTCTTCCTCCGGGGAGCGCTCGGACATGATCCCGCAGCCGCCGCCGCCGCTGCTGCCCAAAGTCATTGTTGTGCGGCCGGGGCGGCCGGGGCCGGGCTCCCCCCCCCACCTAGCGGCGGCTCCCGGGATGGGCCCGGGGCCGTGCCGGAGGGCTGCGGCCGCCGCTGGGACTCCGCGCCCCGGCGCCGCCGCTCCGCTCCGCGCCCCGCTCGCCGCGCCGCTGCTGGCGGGGCCGCGGTGGTGGCTGCGGGGTGGTGGCTGCGGAGGGAGGGGCGGCGGAGGGGGCGCGGGGCGGGGGCGGGGGAAACGGGGCGCCCGTGGGCCGGGCAGGGAGCTTGGGAGCAGCGATAATAAATAATGGTGATAGTGATAATAAAAGGAGAGAAAGAGAAAAAAAAAAAAAAAAAAAAAGAAAGAAAAGAAAGGAAAAAAAAACTTGGGGTTTGCGGCGGTTCCTTGCCTAGCTGGGGGGGAGGGAGGGGGAGGGGGGAGGGAGGGGCAGGGGAAGAGGGAGGGGGGAGGGCAGAAGTGGGGAAGGCGGCTCCCCCCTCCCCACCCCTCCCGAGCTGGGACCCGGTGGAAACGCTCCCACACTGCGCCTGCTGCCAGCGCTCCCCAGGCCTTTATACGGCCGCCCCGGCATCACGTGGCGCCCGCTGCAGCCCCCGCGGGGCACGAAGAGGGGCTGCCGGGCCCAGCCTGGTCCCCGGGGAGCGTGTTCCCCGCCCGGGATGCTTTCGAGGAAAGGCGCTGCCCGTTCCCCTGGCGCTCGGTTGCCCCCAGCTTCGTCTGGAGTCGGCTGCTGCAGGAGAGGGAGTCGGCGCTGGGTAAAGGCCCTCCCCGCTCCGAGCGCCCCGCGGTGCTGGAGGCTCGCAGAGCCCATTCCTGCGGGATGCGACGGCCGCCTTCCTCCGCTCGGGGGTCCACGGAGGGTCCCTTTCTCCCCTCGAGGGCTGCCCATCCCCGAGTCTGGGCCCTGAGCTGCAGACCTCCAGCGGTCTCGCCGACAGGGACCCTCACTCCGCCAGGACCGAACCCTCGGCCCCTTTGAGGGGTTGTGTGAATTTGGGGATCCCCGCTCCCCTTCTCCACGCGCTCACGTCACCGACGCGTCACCGAGCCTGGGACACCCTGCCTGGAAACCCGCCTCCCCCGAGGGCTCCCACGGCCCGCACCCGCGGAAGGGATGCTGCCGCCCGGCAGGTGCGGGGCGGAGGGCGAGGGGTAGCGCTCAGTCAAGCCTCTCCCCACGCGATAAATAACCAAAGCAAAGGCTGTGCGTGTCCCCGGGGCGCTGGGACGGCACCCGAGTCCTGCATCTCTGCCCGGCGGGGCTGGCCCAGCCGGGTACCACTTTCCGAGGCGACCCACCCGCGGCTCGTCCAGGCTCCAGGAACTCTTGGGAAAGAGGAGTATCCTGCGGCCTCGGGATCGCCTGTCTGCCGCCCTCCTGCCTCCCCTGCCCAGCGGCTGGCAGCGAGGAGGTAGCGGGCAGCGTACAGGCACCTTGTCGCGGGCTGCAGGCGAAGCGGGAGAATTTCCCTATAAACAGTCACCCAAGGCCCCTCAGAGCCACAGAAGTGTCCAGGCGTGTGGCAGAGACCCGCTGCCTCGCTTGCCGCCGCCCTGGTGCAGTGCGGGGAACACGTCCACTGCTGAAGCCGCCCACCCCGTGTCCCGTGGGTGGCAGTGGCAGCAGGTTGTCCCCGTCTCTGTCGCGGACACGCCGAACCACGCTCGCAATGTTAGGTTTGCTTTTTTTTTTTTTTTTTTTTTCCCCCGTGGAGTCTCTGGAAACACATAACCGCTTTCCCGGGGGAGGATGCTTGGGGAGGGAGGAAGGCGATGGGTTCCTCCAAGGGGGTACCATGAGGAGATGTCCCCCTGCCAGGGCCGCGTTCGGCAGTGTGAGAATCCGCGGTGATGAATTGCCAGTCTCTGCCGTTAACAGGTGCGAGCATTTGGCGATAAAATCTCCAGCACTAATACCGGGGAGCCGGGCCAAACAGCTGCGCGGCCCCGCTTCCAAATGCCGGTCACAATTACTCAAGCCCTAACGACTCGGTGCACAAACTCGGCGAATTCTGGGGGACCCCGCGGAGAGGGCAGAAGCGGACATCTTCGCCCGTGCGTCTCCAGTGGAAGCAGCGATTGCGGAGCCGGTCACATCCTCTTCCCTCGCCGCCAGCGTGGCCATCAAGGAGAATTTCTCGACCGAAGGGGGAAAAATAGATGAATAAGTGTGCTGAGAGTTTCTCGGGAAGGTGGGAAGTCTGTCCCGCGGGCGCGTGTCAGTTCTGGGGGAGCTTTCCTGAGCTTTCGCTTTTACGCTTCTTCAATGCTGTTAACCTGCGTTTGCAACACATACGCATACATCTCCCCTTTATGTGTGTATGTATATATTCAATTAGACATATATTTATATTCTTTTGTTTCTGATATATATTTTTTCCTATGTATATAATTAGCTAACACGGAGAAATGCTTCGGAGATGCCGCATCTCTCCTATCGACATTGTTTAAACTCTCCATTCATCAGCCCGGTGGAAAGACGATGGGAAGAACAAATGGAAAAGAGCGGAGAGGGAAAAGACCCGAGCCGCTTTCCATTTTTATTAAGTAAAATAATAGTTATGCCTCCCATACATAAACGAAAGTGTCATAAAAAATTCCGAAGCAGCTGCCAGAGATTTCGACCACACACACAACGGGGCGATTGAATTTCTACTTGGTGCATTTCACGGCAGCGAGGAACCGCCGGGAGCTGCGCCTTGTGCCTCTGCAGGGCGGTGAAGGGGAGGGCAGGGAGGGGGCAGCAAAAATGACGCGCTGCGAGCGGACGAGGGCAGAGGACACCGCCCGGGGGATGCCCGGGGGAGAAGATGCTCCGCCGCCCCCGCGGCGCCCGGTCGCAGGGCGGCTGCCTCCCGATCGCTCTGTCTGGAGGTTGGTCTCGCACGGCTCGAAGTGAAACAGATGTGGGTGTCTGCTGCCTGCCCCCCCCAATCTCCCCCACCCTCGCCCTGCCCCGGCTGTCGGCTCCCCCCCTGTCTGGAAGGGTGGGCAGACCTCGGGGGGAGCCCCCAGCAACGAGGGGCTCGGGTGGAGCCGTTTGCTGCTATACTCATGGTCACGGGGACCCCGATGAGGCCGAAAATGTAGAGGGGAGACGAGAAGGGTTGATCCGATGTGGCTGTTGATGGGATACGGCCGGTGGCTTGTCCTGCTCCCGCCTGGACGTGGCTTTCCCCCTCAGCATCGCGCTTCCAGAGCGTCGCAACTCGAGTAATAACAAGCCCCGACCAGCCACCATCGACACGATTCCTGCCTGTTTCAAGGCACAATATTGTTCCCGTTAAAGTCGGAAACGACCCAAAATGAAAGGACAGTGAATGAGTCCTGATCCCTCCATCTCCGAGAGGCTCCTGTTCGCCGAGGCAGTCTTAGCCTCGGCTTTGCCACGCAAGATTGGCTGCAGAAACGAATCAAAACGAGAAAAAGTACCTAAACTACACCCGTCCCGAAATGATTTAGAAAAGGGAAACCCTGGACAGAAACAAAGCAGATGGTCGGATCCCAGACACGGTACACTCGCACATACACTCCCGCCAGTGCATCCACAACACGGAGCGAAGGGTGTGTTTTAATGTGCGCCGGGGTAAGAAATGATGCGGTCTTCCGAAAGAGAAACCCAATTGATTTACCCGAAAAGATCGCCTTGTCATCGCCCCACCGATCCTGGGAGTGCAGGGCTGGGAGGGAAGCATTTTTCCTTGGGCAGATTTTTAATTTTTCTGCTCTCCTCTCTGCAGTACTTCCTTACAGACAGCCTCGCTTCCCGTTTGAACCCGACTCTGCTTTACATTTCACGTTAAATTGCGGAATCAAACGTGAGTGGGGCTGTGCGCTGATGGAGTGGAGAGAGTCTCTAAAAAGTCTCAAAAGTAGAGAAAAAAAATAATAAAGGTCGTCAGCCGATCATGGTGATACTTTTTTTCTCTCCTTTAAATTGATTTTCACTGCCTTTCCCGCCTATCTTAATGAGGCGTTTGATCCAGGCGTGTTGGATCGGTGCTTGATGCCCTGCGGACGGCTTTAGCAGGTGGATCCCCACGGCCGAACTTTCTCCCCTCCCTGGGTTTCCCGGTGCCTCCGCCCGAGTCGGAGCCCCCTGCAAACTGCAAAACTGGCCACAACTACCAGGCACTTTTTTTTTCCCCGCACAGGGAAAAACTCGTTCCCTTCCCATCCACCGAGACCGTTATTTGCCGGGGGGTGTAGGCAAATAGGGAGGGCAGGGAGAACAACCCCGGAGCACCGCGGGGTGCGATCGCTCCTTCTGCCCTGGCACTGGTCATGTCCACGCCTAAGGGGGCTGCTCCTGCCGGAGCATCTCCCGGCGAAGGAATTTAGCTGGGAGCAAAGCCCCGGGAAGCAAAGCCCTTGGGCAGTGCAGAGGATTCAGCTTCAGTCCAGCCGACGTTGTTCCCAGATCCTTCCACATGATCTAATTGGTATTGCAATACATAATCGTTCTTGTTGCTTCTGTCGAGCAGCATCTAAATTCGTTTATTCTGATGAGAACCGCATCTACAAGTTCCCCCAAGGCTCAGTGATGGATTTCTCTGTATTACCTCGTTATCAAGCTTGGCTGACCTCTAACTTCTCTGAAAACACGAACAAGACAGACCTGCTGCTGCCTGGGCTGCCCCAGGGGGCTCTTTTTCCACTTATGTGATTTCCTTTGATATTATTTCTCTTCTTTCCATATCCAAGGCTCAGACCTTCAGTGCTCCCTACAGTTCAACCTTTTTTCCAGCCCTGTAGTGCCAGCTCCCAGCTTGCAAAGATCAGTTTGCAGTCTGCACACCGAGAGTTCCCAGCGCAGGGGGGTCAGTGGGAATGGTGGTGACAGATAGTGAGAGATGTATAAAATTCCCAGTTTGGAAACCACCGGAGCCAAGTGCCAATATCCATCCCTGCAGTGTTCAGATGTTGGACAGCTCGGGTTTGTTGACTTGGCTTTTCAAATGCAGGTGTCTCAAAGTACACACCAAAAAAGGCCTGGATTCCAGTAAAGGCTTTTCCCAGGCACCCCATGTGCAGGGCTGAGCCCCCATGAAACTTTGGAGAACAAGTCTCCCTGTCTTTTCTGCTCCTCAGATGAGTGGGAAACATCTTAAACACACATTTA